CACACATTTAATTACCACACACACACATTTAATTACCACACACACATCTAATTACCACACACACATCTGATGCAGGTTCAAGTGATAAGGAGCAGGTGTGCAGTGGCTGCAGGAGCTGCTCCTCTTCCAACCGGGTCTGAACTCACTCCTTTGTTCCTCTCCTCCGCAGAATGAACAGAAGGTAAAAGTATCGGAACAGAACCGGGTCAGGCCGAACCTTGGCTCTTACCTTGTGACTCTGTCGGCTCTCTCTCCTCACGCACAACTTCCCACGCGCTTCGTCGTGACTCTGTTCATAACTTCTTCTTCCCGTCGCCGCTGTTTGTTGTTTGTTTGTTTGTTGTTTGTTTGTTGTTCCCTGACCCAGATCCGTGCGTGGAGCAGCTGCTCTGTCCCGCCGCTTTCCTTTCTTTGGACTGAAACTTCACTCGTGGCTCCATTCAGCAGACTCATCCCATTTTCCTTTAAAGGGCCGAAGCAGGATCAGGTTTCTGCAGGAACAGCCCCCAACACACACACACACACACACACACACACACACACACACACACACACACCGCAGGTTCGGCTGCTGAGGGGTTTCCTTTGAGGAGTTCCCTGAGGCAACATGTCATAAAGTGCATGAGAAACATCTGGAATAAGTTTCATTTAATGGAGCTTTCAGATGTTATCACCCACCCTTAGCATTGCTTGGCGGGTGATAATGTTTTTGCATGTGCCTGTTAGCAAAATCACTCATGGACCACAGGACAAAATTTAATCAAATTCAAATATTGGATGTTCTGTACATCCACATCTGATTACATTTTGTAGTTAATCCCATTCAAGATGGCCACCACAGCTAAGCAAACATTGCAAACCCCATAATGGCCATCCATCCATCCATCCATCCATCCATCCATCCATCCATCCATCCATCCATCCATCCATCCATCATCTTTACCCGCTTCTTCTATTTCGGGTCAAGGGGGCCACTGGTACCCATATCCAGCACTGTGCGAGAGAGGGGGGACACCTGGACATGTCTCCAGTCCATCACAGGGACACCTAGACATGTCTCCAGTCCATCACAGGGACACATGGACAGGTCTCCAGTCCATCACAGGGACACATGGACAGGTCTCCAGTCCATCACAGGGACACCTGGACAGGTCTCCAGTCCATCACAGGGACACATGGACAGGTCTCCAGTCCATCACAGGGACACATGGACAGGTCTCCAGTCCATCACAGGGACACATGGACAGGTCTCCAGTCCATCACAGGGACACCTGGACAGGTCTCCAGTCCATCACAGGGACACATGGACAGGTCTCCAGTCCATCACAGGGACACATGGACAGGTCTCCAGTCCATCACAGGGACACATGGACAGGTCTCCAGTCCATCACAGGGACACATGGTCAGGTCTCCAGTCCATCACAGGGACACCTGAACAGGTCTCCAGTCCATCACAGGGACAGGTCTCCAGTCCATCACAAGGACACCTGGACAGGTCTCCAGTCCATCACAGGGACACCTGGACAGGTCTCCAGTCCATCACAGGGACACCTGGACAGGTCTCCAGTCCATCACAGGGACACCTGGACAGGTCTCCTGTCCATCACAGGGACACCTGGACAGGTTTCCTGTCCATCACAGGGACACCTGGACAGGTCTCCAGTCCATCACAGGGAC